CTAGAACACTGTCCCAAGAATGAACCAGGAAAGCTTCCAGGGAGGAGTGATTCTTATAGAAATATTCTTATCCTAAGCTGCACTCAAGGAAACCTCCTTAAAAATGCAAATGTTCTTCTCTGTTTTCAGAGGTTCCCCTGAATTGGCTTAGGGTGAGGTCAGGACAGAGCTCTCTTAAGTTTCCTGGTGATTCCACACAGAACCAGGGTTGAGAACCACTGACTTAACCAAAGAATGAAACTCCAACTGTGCTACAGGATGAAACAACTAGAATATTTGGAGGCTTTCCCAGAACTGTCAAATCTTCACCTGGACTAGCATTCCCATCCACTCAGTCACCTGTTTCCTGCCCAGGTGGATTGGCTTTATCCCAAGGCTTCTCTTCCTGTGTTTCCGTTTGCCAATTGGACATTAAGTGTGGCTTCTTTAGGACCCTGGGGACTCCTCTATATAAGCACTTATTCCATCAGGCCTGAGGAGGGAGGGTCCCTAAGACTTGTCTTCAAGTAGTTAACCACAGGGGAAATAAGCAATGGCGAGGTACATAAGCCATGGGAAGGAAGAATCAGGGCAGACTTCTGGAGAGGATGATCGTCATCAGAGGAAAGCATGAGGAAAAACAAAGAGGCAAGGAACAGCACTGAAGCTCAGAGAATGACAATTAATCTGGAATGCCTGGGACTCTGTGGGCAGAGTATGTGGGGTATAGAAAAAACAGCCAATGGCCAGGTTGGAGGGCCCAGATGCTACACTAAGAAGTTGGAACTTTTTCCTGGTAGTACCAAGGAGATTCTTGAAGCAGAGGAATCAGGTGACTGGATTATGAATTTTTGAAAGATTACTCTAACCATAAAGAATGAATAAAAGTCAGTAGCAGTGTGATTGACACTTAGGAAATACCACTCATCTGAAGTGGGAAAAGGGGTAAACCCTGATATAGTAGCCTACTCTGTGTTGGAAAAGCACTGCAATCTATTTTAAGATCATAATGTGGTTAATCACTGGAAGTATTTGGGTTGAAGCATTTCAATACATTTCTCTAATCAGCCCTGGATCCGCAGCTCCTTGAATGCAATTGAACAACAATTCTTGGGGATTACTGACTTGAAAGAGTTTCCCAAGTGACTAGAAGCATGGTAGTGCCACCAGCCTCCAGGTCCCCTGCTCAGATATGGATGCACATTATAAAAACAACAGGGACCTCACATGCAACCCTTCTGCAGTGCTTTGGAGATAGCATCCCTAAGGATGCTATCTATGGTTTCAAAACTACAGAATCCCCCATAATCTTTACAGAGCAACCATGGCATCTCTATAAATCAAGTTTCCTTAAGAATTTCAAGTCTGGCCTGGCATGCTGGCTGGCACACACCGATAATCCCAGGGCCTTGGGAGGTTGAGGCAGGAGGATCAGTGATAAGTGTCCTTGATTCAATTCCTAGTACCCCCCACCCCGCCAAAAAAAGGAGAATCTCAAATCTGTTCATCCTACACTAAACACAGCAAGATGGAAAAACGAAAGCACAGAAGTTGGTTGGGTTTTTTTTTTTTTTCTGAACATACAACTATCATTTTTTTAGTGACTAAGGCTTTGGGGATAATCCCTAAGGACGCTATCTATGGTTTCAAAACTACACAACTTGGTCTGTCAGGAGCTGGCTCAGAAGGACTGTGGTGAGAAGCCAGCAGGTTTTCTGTACAGCAGGACCCACCTCTCTTCTCCCTGTGGATGCTGCAGACAGCTTCCTTCCACCAGTTGCTGAGATTCCACAACATCCAGTGTTCCTTCCTCAGAGCCCTCAGAAGGATACAGAGCTTACATGCACAGATGTTTTTGTGGACTGGGAAAAAGAAGTGAGGTAACACCTGTCTGGCCCAAGGGAATTCTTCATTTTGAGCTATTAAACAGAAATGGGACATTACAGACTAGTGCATTAGCCAGGGAGCAAAGACTCTCAGCCCATTCTGGTTTTAAACATAGGAAGCCTCTGCCAAGGCAAAGGCAGGCTAGGAAACAATCCTCTCCTATGGCCTTGTTGGGGTTTGTTTTGGTTTGAATTGTATGTGCCATTGAAGAGCCATGATACCAGCAAAACCAGCCAACAGTCTCTTATTATCAACAGAACATAGTGCCACATAAAACCCTTGACAGGTCTAGCATCTCACACCACCCTAGCCAAAAAGCTTAGCCAAAAGTACTGGGGTACATAAAACAACAAGTACTTTCCACCCCAAGCCCACAACCTGGCCACGCAACTGACCTTTCATTTGAAAGGCTCACACAGCAAGATTAACTTTCATTTACAAAATTCCTTTCAAAATCATTTAGTAATGTCAATATATTAAAAAATGTTTCCCCCACTCCCCAAGGTCATCATTCTAGCTGTGGTTATTCTCCAAACAATTTATCTCCCTGCTGTTGCCATAGATAAAACTATTTTTAGAGCACAACTGGTTTGAAGGCTTTTTTTTTATTATTATTTCACAACTCCTGTTGTTTGGCATCCATAAATGCTTCTTAGGATTTTGTTTATCAGCTAACAGAAATTAGTCTTCCCACCTTCCCCCCGCCTCCCATGAGAGATGATCTTAGGAAGGAAGTGCAATTGCAGGTGGCAGTCACTGAACAAAGGATAACTGGTGACAGGCTGGTCTCCCACACTGCCCCTGGCAGCTGACTCAGAGAACTGAACTCCTGCTCAGTGTCAGCTGTCACCACGGTTGGCTGGAATGACTGGACCAACATAGCCAGGTTCCCCCACAGACACTAACTCCATAAGCTCTTTGGATGAAACAGAAGATTTATTTTAATGGCTAATATGTTCCTGCCAAAGACCATCACTTGTGTACCATTGGGTGAAATGAAAGAATGATATAGGCTTTACCAAAAATTTTCAGCTTTGGAAATACTTTTCATAATCATTTGTTTAGCCTGCAATTTTATTTTCAAGACATCCTGTTTTTGTTTTCCTAAAAAGAAATTAAAAATAAATGTTTTTGTCCCAAGGCAGGTCCAATATGCCACTGTTGTACACCATATGTCAAATATTCCATTTAGACAAATGCTACCATTCCTCCATGCAGTATCCCAATATTGTCAGCTGCCCTACAAATTCCTACTCACACAGCAAGACTAAACTCAGACATCACCTGCAGTAAGAGGCCTCCCTCAGGTGCCTCAGGAAGAACCATGCCTTTTAGCTTCACAGAACTTTGAAAATACTTCACCCCACTACACAATTAATGCTTTGATAATTTCATGATAGCAGTTTGTGACAAAGTCTGCCTCCATAGGTAGAATGGACCCCAGTGCCCAGCACTGTACCACAGTCCCCCCTACACACACACACACACAAACACAGCACCTGTGATATTTTCAAAACCAATAGCAGAGTTGGAAGTGATAAAGATATGGAGAACACTAGAACTTTTTGATATCCTCTTTCCAAAACAAGTACCAGGATGCCTAGTATAGCCCTGCATGGTCTGATTCAGATCCCTGGGACCTCCAGTCCAAAGTCTTATACAGTCTTATTCAAAAGGCAAAGCACTCTCAAAAATGTTCACAATGTACCAGATAACAAAGCACTTATAACTAAAGAGATACTCAAAAGAAAATATTGGAGAAAAATGTCATTGGGTATATGGTATACTAACTAATCACATTTATGTATCTACCTACAATATCATTTTAGCTACCCCAACCAGTCCCTATCTCTGGAGGGGAAATGGACCTCAGCTGGGCTCAGGAGTAGCTTTTCAGTGATTTCTATTCTCTCCCAATCAAAATTTTTTTCCAATTGACAAATAGTTCCAAAGAAATATGGCAAATATTCACCTTGAAGTAAGGCCAGGCCTGTGGCTGGAAACCCCTTAGGATCTAATATGACTCTTGAAGTTAATGATTGGACAACTAGAGTTCTGTCAACCTATATGAACACAAACATAAACACACACACACACACTCAAAACCCATCACTTGGCCCAACCCAATTGTAACACACACCCATCTTCTACAGCTAATGAAAGACAACTCATAAGATGATATAACCACTACCAATTGGTTGAGGTATATAAAAGTAGATAAGCATGTCTACAAAACTAGCAAACAGAGGTACCAAAGTGGCTTCTGGTTTGGACTTAAGCACTCATTCAGCTAAACTTGGGGAAACATTATTCAGCAAGTTTCAATCACAGTGAAGAGATGTCAAGTAATAAGCAATGAATATCACGATGAAAGAATAAGCCACAAACCAAACCTCTAACAGTTTGCTCTGAGATCCTGATTTTGGAAGAAATGCAGAATGTGAAAGATGCATATGCCTAGCCATTCTTCAAAGAGCATCTACAGAGGTGGGAAAGGATATAACAAAGATTGCAGAGAAACAGGCTTCTAAATAAAACCCTCCCTGAGGATGTTGACCAAGGACCACCTCTGCTGCCACTGTGTTAGTATTTAAGCTAGAAAGAAAAAAGTGGCTTGCATAAACTAACCTCCCATACAACTGGGCTCCTGGGCAGCCAGCTGCTAACCCCTGATTTGCAAAGAGGCACCCACTTTGGTTAAACCCACTCCAGAATCAGTATTATTCTGTCACACTGAACACAAGTGACACCTACTTACTTCTAATCAATGGAAGAAGGAAAAGTTTGGGTTTAAAATACCATCTTACTTGTGGGCCTCAGGGTAGAGATACTACAGAAATGTCTCCCTTGCTTTTTTAAACTGGTGCCACCAATAAGTTTGGCTTGACAGAAGAGACAGGAAGGAGAGGAAAACTCTGGGAATTCCAGAAAGTCTCCCAAGACCTCTTTTCCAGCTGGTGAGGCATCCCTTGGGCGTCAAGTGGGAAGGTCATAACCAGCGCTGGGACTGACGGGAAAGTTGAGCCCAGGGTGGGTGTCAAGGCCAAGGGCTGGCTCCCGTGCGACCTCAAACGCAGATACCTACAGAAGTGGCAGGGGAATGAGACCACGGGGCCACCTCCCCAGCTACTCACCCTCCTGCTGGGCGTCCCGGGCGCTCTGGAGCCGCCGCCAGAGAGCAGGGTGACGGTGGACGTGGAACGCAGCATCCTGCAGCGGTTGTCTGCGTAGGGCTGGGCACCCGAGCTGCTCCGGGGCAGAATAAGTGTGCTGGGCGCGCCCTTTGCGGGGGTGGCTCCGGGGCCACTTGCCGCTCCAGCTTCGGCTCGACGGGAGACGGAGGGGGCGGGGCCTGGACTGGGGGCGGGGAAGGGGCGGGGAAGGGGCCGGGCCAGGCCGCGGGGCGGGGCCCTAGCGCGCTTGCCCAACAGGTCCTGCTGCATTTTCTCCCTAGTGCTCAGACCCTGCCAAAGTTGAGCGCTGTCCTTTCCCGTGTCGCTTTATTCTGTTCCGGAGAGTAAAGAGCCCTCGATATTTGGGAGGCCTAGACTCTCTGTCTTCTGAGGAGTCGAGCTCCGCCTGCACTTTCAACCTCAGGACTCATTGCATAGGTCCCACACCCACCCCTAGCTATTTCCCCCACCCAACCCCCAGCCACACCTGGGGATCCCTGGGATTATCACCCTATCATTTATTGATTATTTATTGAGTGCCTATCCTAGCAGCCAGCACAATCGACTGACCTCGTGGAGTTTGCAATCTGGTGGGGTCCCCAGAAAGATAAAGAGATGACAGGTGTGGGTGCTAAGGTAGAAGAGGGTACACACGGAACTATGAGAGTACACAACCTGGAGCCTGGAAAAGCTTCCCAGAGGAAGTGACTAAGCTAGAAAGCAAGTAGGAGTAAGCCAGACATAGTGTCCATCACAATGGACATATTTATTCAATGATTACTGTGCAACCAGCTGACAAGTACTTTGCATTACGTCAGTTAATTCTTACAACCACCCTTTGCGTTAGGCACCACTTTTATCCTGTATCTTCATTTTGCAGATGAGGACATTGACTAACCAATGGATTGAGTAACTTAACAGGGGCCCCACTGTCTGCTGAAGGGCAAAGCTAGGGTATGAATCCTGTCAATCTGACCCTAGTGTCTTGCTTGTGCATGCTGCCCCCTAACATGAAAGGGACCAGCTCCAGGACAAAAGAAGGAGCATTTTCAAGATAGAATGGAGGAAAGGGAAAGTATATTTTAAAAACTGTAAATATCACAATGAAAGGGATAAATGGTAGAGATGCAGCTAAAAGGGATCTGAGGCCAGGTCATGATGAGCTCAGTTTGGAAAGGATAAAGATATGGAGAACACTAGAACTTTTTGATATCCTCTTTCCAAAACAAGTACCAGGATGCCTAGTATAGCCCTGCATAGTCTGATTCAGATCCCTGAGTCCTCCAGTCCAAAGTCATACAGACTTATTCAAAAGGCAAAGCACTCTCAAAATCAAAGAAGACACGATATCTCCACCCATCCTTCAAAGCCCAGGTCAAACTCTGCCTCCCACCAAGCTCTCCAGGACCCGTGCCCTTGAACACTCACACTCCTGAACCCAGCAACTCTTTGGGACCATGTTCTCTGTTAGAGTCATCTATTTGTATGTTTCCTTCCTATCCTTCTGGAGAGAGGGGACAGGCTCAACCCTCTCTGAATGCCCAGTATGGCACCAACAGGGAAGACGCTCAAAGAATGTTACTGAACAGAATTTCACATGATCCTGCAAAACTCATTTGTTTTTCAGATAAGGAAGCTGTGGCCAGTGTGTTTAAGTGATTTTCCTGAAGCCACACAGCCTGCTCTTTATTATCCTCACCATAGATGTGCCTGTGTTCTAAGTGCTTTATACTTACTTACTTTCTCATCTAGTTCTCCTAGAGACCCCATCAGATGGATATTGTTATCATTCCCATTTTCAGATGAGGAAACTAAAGCCAGACACATTAGGTCACTTGGTGCATAGCTGAGACTAGACATCTACTCCTCTAACTCCAAATCTATTGCTTTTTGACTACACTCCTTCCTTCATCCTCCCATCTACCTACCTTTTCCAAGAAAGGTTCATGAGAAGTTTCTTTCCATCCTCATTCAACACAGCCCTCTACACTTGTTAGTTTTATAAGACTGAAAGCTGGGTCTTCCTTTCAATAAATAGTGGTCAACATATGGCTGTTGAAAACCACCAGGAGTAGAGACATCTGCATGGTCATCTCAGTGGAAAGAAACTAATGATTAGTGTTGCTTTGTTGTTTTGCCCTGGGATAAATAGAAATGGGCTGTTTGTTGAATAAAGTCAAAATAACCTGCCATCAGCAATATTTATTTATATTATGGTAGCCACCCAATGACTACCCAAGATGGAGTCAACCTTTGAGAGAAAGAGTGGTCCATAGATCCATTTTTCTTCCATCTACTGATGTCTTTCATATTGTTAATATAAATAATACTTTTCATTGTAATCCATTGCAAAAGTAGCAGACTGCTTACCATCTTGGGAGCCACGTATGAACTTATTTACATCTCTGCCTGCTTGATACCTGCTTGATACCTGGAACATATTCATTGGCACATGGTAAGTGCTCAGTAAGTGTTGAATGAGTGAAGAAATTATATTACAGAGCAAAACTGCAACTGGCCTATCACTGAGCAAAACAGAAACTAAGGTCCTTGCCAACCAATCTTCTAGGATGGACCAGGGTCTCCAAGAACTTTTCCAGCTGAAGCAACCAAAGCCCTGGGATTGTCCCAGTGAGGGCAGTTTCCCAACAATGGCTGCCACCAAGGATTATGGGCAAAAGCCAATCTCTGGCTTATGCCTCAGCCACTCCCTACCAGGCCAACACTGGGTCTGGTAGGACCCAGTGGTAGTAAAGTTCACAAGGATTGCAGGAAAGAAGAGAGTAAGGAGCCCCAGGAAGTAGAAAAGGAGAGGAAAGAAACTGGTAAGAAAAGTAGGGAAAATAAATCAATGGAAAGTAGCTCTAGAATGGAGAGGAAACGATGTCAGTGGTTAAGTACCCCTGGGTTCAGTCATCCCTGGTGCAAGAAGAAGAAGAAGAAGAAGAAGAAGAAGAAGAAGAAGAAGAAGAAGTCCTCAGAGTCTATAGATTATAGAGTAGGAAAGAGGGCAGAGTGAGAGGAGCAGGGACAGGGCTCTGGTGGGGAAGGTCATTGTGGTCCCTCTCAACGTGCTCCGGTTCTCTCCAGGACCTCCCTGAGCATTGGTGGTAGAGGGTTGCCACTATTTGGGCTCCAGAGAATAGGAGATGTGACAAAACTAACTTAGCTGCTCTCCCTTACCCTCTGTTGGAATAGCTACATATGCCTGAGAGCTGCCCTAAATATCTCTGCTGATGCACAGGTATATAGAAAATTCCAGATACCTGTATAAATGTCCAGTTTTTCCTGAAATCAGTTATTGAATTATACCTCCTCTCATCTCAGTTTCTAGAATTCTATTTCATATCCTCTAGGCATCTGCTTTCTGAATTGTCTCTGTTGCTTTCTGTTAATTCTTGTGCAAACTCTGTGTCTTTAGCTGAGGAGCTTTTGATGGGACCCTCTCTCTAGCAAGTCCTAAGCAGCCAAGACTGCTATTAGATTTTTAGCAGAAACAATTAGGAATTGAATCACTTGCTGGACAGAAGCACAAAATAGGTGAGCCCAAGCCATGTCAGGCTTCCTGATATTTGCACCCTCTACACTCTCAACATCTCTGAAGCGTCCCTTTCTTCCTTTTCTATTCATCTGCAGCAACATCCCAAAGTCCTGGCACATTCTCCTGTTCTGAATGCCACAGAAACCAAACTTTCACAATGGAAAAAGGACATGTTTGCAGCCCAAGAACAAAGGTATTGAATTACAAAGCCCTTTTGAATAAGGTAGAACAAGAAACCCTACATATTCACAGGCATCTGAAAAGTAGAGAACAGGGCCTAGTGATAAGAAAAGCAGACTGAGAGGAACCCAAAACCCTAACCAAATCCCCCACATATCCACAGTGTTTGTAAGACTATCTAGACTGGGACCTGCTGCTGACCCACCTGGGAAATACAAGCTCAATGCAAATGATTCTGCTGGCTTACCAACTAACCCAATGAGCAAATGATCAACCAGTAGAATGATCAAAAATATTTTTTTTTTCATTGAACAAATATGTACCAAGCATTTACAATGAGCTGGACACTGGGGAGGCAGAGACAAGTAAGACAGCCCTGCTTTCTAGGATTTCATGATCAAATTGGGAAAAGAAACATGCACATAGGAAATAAAAATTATGGCTAACACTCATGTGGCACTTACTATGAACAATGAATTGTGGATGCATTTTGAGATTTTTGAACATAGAGCAATGAGAAAAGTACTATTATGTCCCCTAATTTGCAGATGAGGAAATTGAGCCACAGGGAGTTGAAATGACTTACCTATATTACCAATACTAGTAAGTGATGGAGCTAACCTTCAATCTAAGGCAAGATAGCTCCATCTGTGTACTTGACAATTCACCTCCTATTTTAGGACAGGAGCTAGACTTGAGACATGTCCAAAGCACAGAGGTGGACAGAGAAGAATCTGCTACTGCTGCTGCTGCTGCTGCAGAGGACAGGAAGGGCTTCCCTGGGAAAGTGACCTGGGAGCTAGTCCTAAAAAATGAGGAGGAAAAGGTAAGGGCTTTCCACATCAAAATCCTGGAGGAAATGGTGGGATCAGAGGGTCTGGGAAATGGCTAATAGCCAATTCAGCTTGAACTTCAGGGCAGGGAGAATGGCCAGAGACCAAGTAGGGTGGGGTTAGAGTGTAGAGGGCCTTGAATTCAGTTGAGCTTGGATTACAGGTGATGAGTTATGGAAATTTCATGAGCAGGGCAGTGATATTATCAGGTTTGCAATAAGAAAGGTGGCAGGGTCTGGGGCTGGGTCTCAGCAGTAGTACACTTGCCTGGCATGTGTAAGGCACTGCATTTGATTCTCAGCACCACATATAAATAAATAAATAAAATAATGGTCTATCAAATATATATATGGAAGATGAAAGGCTGCAGAGAAACCTATGAAAGGAAGGTAGAGGCTGTCAGATGAGCACTTGTTTGCTTTTTGGATTTTGTATTTGTTTGGTTTTTGGCACCAGGGATTTAACCCAGGTGCCCTTTACCACTGAGCCATATCCCCAGCCCTTTCCATTTTTTATTTCGAGACAGGACCCCACTAAATTGCTAAGGGTGGCCTTGTACTTACAAGCCTGTCTCAGCCTCCCAGGTCACTGGGATTATAGGCATGT